TCTCTCTCTCTCTCTCTCTCTCTCTCTCTCTCTCTCTCTCTCTGTGCGCCCGATGTCTCTCTCTCTCGGTACTGTGTTTTGTTTGTCTCTCAGGCATAACATTCAAGTTTGTTATTTGTTGTTCTTTTTCTCGGTCTCGTTCCCACCCTATCTCCATGTCATTGGAACACGCCATCCTCTTTTGTGATGTGGACGAAACGCCTATATGACCTCCTCCGTCTGTTCCTTGGGATATCATCATTGAACCAACCGGGCCCTGGCAATTCAGAATGATTTTATTCTGGTCATCCGATTGTATCTGGATTCGAACTTGGGTCTGTATTTCAACAGTTCGTGGGTGCACCAACTGAGGTATGGCCATTGGTAGATTTGGTGTTTCCTGTTCTAGCTGTCACGTCCTTTTTCTACCTTCTCGGAGTTTTGATAGCTGTGCCTATGTTCAGCTTTAGTTTCTGTCCTTCCAGTCGTACTTGAAGATTGGCGGTGTCTTCGAATTGGTTTCCCGGTCGCTACGCTTGCCTGTGCATCCAATTTCTGCCTCAGCCAGCTTGCACCCCGCTTCATGCCATGATGCGAATACCGCTTGTGGCCCGTGGTTTCATCTTTTCTGGGGTGATTTCTATGAAGTAGTGCGAACTAGTGAATACCTATTTCGGTACGTTCAGTTTGTTGAAGGAATCGGGTACTTCTCATGGTTCCAGTTTGTTGTGTTGTTTCAAAATCACTAGTGTAGTTCAGAACAATGATCAACAATCATTGTCTAGGTGAGATATTATCTTAGGAAAGTTACTATCATGGATGAGTTGGTTTCAAATTGGCATGCATCACATTGCATGTTCGATTTTCCGGTGTTTTTTTTTTTGTCATTCAGTTTCATGTTTCATCTCCGTGCCTATTTGCTCAGTGATGATGTTGCGTCTGAGTCATCTATGCTGTTCTTGTCTGTAATGTGGAAATTGAGTTATTGATATTAAGCATCAATATCCTTTTTCCATTTCGTTGATCAATTTTTTTCCATTCTATTTTATAGAAATGAATATATATACAACGAGTTCCAGGGCGTTGTTACTATTCCATAGCTTGAACGAGGCGACGAGTCCTCTTTGGAAAACAAATTCAGTATGGTCGATTAGGTCGCCGTCGTCGCTTCGACATGTTGATCCCCTGTTGATTGGGTAGTTCCTTAGTATACTTCCCTTATGTGCCTTTTGCGATTGAATGCATGTCACAGAATCGATTTGATTACCAAACACTGTCTACCCATGTCATGTTTGACGTTGTCTTTTGATTGTATATTCGAATCCGCAATGAAGTTGGGGTCTTTTCGCCCATTGATTTTGATGCCTGGAAGAAACTACTGAGAATGCCAGGGGGAGTGAGAGGAGAAGGGTTTTGAAACAGTCAAATGCACCGGCGATTGATGATAGTGCACACAGATGGATGTTTTGGCATATGTGTGTTTCTGTGGCAGGCAAGGTACACAGTTCAGAAGAGGTTGATGTTAGTGGTTATACAGGCCGGAAAAGAACAGCAATCCGCTTGTCGTCCGTATCGTACGTACGGGAACAGCACTCAGCTTGTTATCCACATGATATAGGACACCGTCGACTTCGGCATTGTGAGTGCGAAGCAACACAAGTTGGCTAATCGATCGAATACGATAACCAGAAAACAACCGGCGGATGAGTCTGTCTATCCTTCTCACTACTCTCTGCAGCTCCTCTGCCGGGTCACTGATATGATGCAAAGGGACAGGCTGAGGTTTACTGACGGCATAGACCAGGTCTTGCGTGCTTCCATTTTTCAGTTCCATTATGAAGCCAGGGCCAGAGATGGACGGGAAAACGGTGAACTGCGCACAAGCTTTGAGGAGGTGGGGATCGGTCTCCTCCAATCTGAGCAGCAAATGCGGGCTCCATACGTGACAGAGCTGTCCACTGTACCTGTGCCAAAGGAGTTGCTTTGCAGAAAGCGGAAATGCAACCGGGTGATGCTGGATGCGGCAATCGTAAGGCCATGCGGTCATATCATCTGCGAGCAGTGCCTGCGCGATGCGCTTATGCCGCCAAAGAAGCAGCAGTGTCCAATATGCAATGTGAGCCTGAGTCGCCGAACGGTGAACGAGGATGGCGAGCCGATTCCTTCGACGCAGATGCGAGAACAGATCAGCAACTTGAAAATGAAATGCCCGTTTACGCTGAGCTATGCCGTGGCAAGCAATAAGTTTGTCGATCTGGAGTGTGTCTTTCCTGGCTCGACGGGTGATGTGGTGGTCTGCGGGCCAGTGAGACTGGCAGATCTGGAGGAGCATGTCCTCACATGCTCCCATCGCCCGGTTCGTTGTGTGAATCAAGGTTGTGGGGAGCCCTTTAGGTCCGAGCACTTGGCGGCGCATGAATCCATGTATCACACCAACATGAGCTTTTCCTCTTCCCCTTCCCCAGAGGGTCAATCAGCCAACCCGGCCTCCGACCAAGCGCAAAGGCAGCCCAACGTCACAAATAGGTCCAGAATCGCTGATGCCTCTCCCGCTCGTGGTGGTGAAGCCAGAACTGAAGGATTAGCCGATGTCGTGGTGCCGAGTTTGCGCCCCTGTCCTCACCACGCTGCAGGATGCTCAGCCAAACTTCCGGAGGCTGCACTTGCTGCACATGTCCGCACTTGCACATACAGCAGTGAAAACCGTCAGAGGGGTGGCTGGTTTCTAACAGTATGCTGTTTCAGCAGAGCCAGGACCGGATCTCAGAACCGTCCCTCCAACAAAAATGCTTCTGGCCCCTCAGGGAGTTTCTGGGACTTTATTAAACGGCTTTATGCCGCTTGCTGTGCAGGGTCTCCACATGCTCAAGGCGGTGAGGAACATTGGCACTGAGGCAGCTAAAATACTCTTCTGCATGCTTCACCGTACTTCCTGTCATCATTACTTGTACCGTACGCAGTCACAGTTCCAACCAGGTACGCACGCAGTCATGGAGGTGGTGGAGATCAGGGCGCAATGCAAAAGCTAGGCTCAGGCTCAGGACAGCAGTAGCACACCTCCATCTGATTGGAAGCCTTGAACTTGAGCTGGTGGAAGGAAGGCGGAGCGGGGCAAGAAGATCGAGGGAGGGCCGAAGGGCCACTTGCAAGGATTGAAGTTGAAGCCTGAAGGTGAAGTACAGTAAAAAAAATACTGCCTTTGTCTGAAAAAAAAGATCGTATGTAGTATGGAGAACGATTCCAAGTGTGTGTGTATGAAGCCCCAAAGGTGCACTGCACTCAGTCACGGCGATCATGCATTATTACGTTCGGGGATAGATGGTACTGTGTTGATGGGAGCACGAATGGATTGGAAGTTGTGTTTTGGGGGGTCAATGGAGTGTGAATCAGGGTGGATTAGCTGGTTCGGTGGGTGAGCCTTCCGAAGATAAATTGTTGATAAGCACATGGACGGATTATAACTTGGGGTGGAAGGGTCGACGGACGACGAATTAGAGTAGAGGGCGGATTAGTTTGTTAGGTGGGTGGTGAGCCGTCTGAACTTCTGAAGCGCATTGCATGTTGAGGGGGTGATTCATGGGGGGGGGGGGGGGGGGGGGGGGGGGGGGGGGGGACGCTGGAGTGCCGTCAGCATCCTTGGGATAACAATGGATGGGTCGACGAGAAAGAAAAAGGGCTTAAACCACCAGTACCTCTGAGCCGCTTTTTGCTGAGGTGGATTCCCCCGGCGTGCCAACGAAAGACGAACTGCCGTGGAGGCGTTTTCGTTTTCGTTTTGGCGGGCACCACCAGCCATCTTGGTCAGGTAGCGTGGTTCATCTGAAGAACCCCGAATGTCGCATTTCCGATTCTCATGTTTGCCTGGCACAAGCGGTTAACAGGCAACAGGGAACCCCGAGGTGCGGGTGGTTTCAAGCTGAGGTAGAGGCCTGGACTCATAGGAGCGATACTGGCAAGAACCGCACTTGCCGGTCGCGACAGAGTATGTAATCTGCTGCACCATTGCAGGATTGTGATAACGTTCGCTGCTTGTTTGATTAGGCATAGAGGCATAGTCCATTTACCCCTTGAGTTTGTGTCTCTCTGTATAACTAACTGAAAGATTGACTGCACACACGAATACGGCCTTCCTGCTGCCTATGTCCGGTTGCTACTATGTGCTTACTGGTAGCTGGTCATTGGCTGCAGGTAACATCAGGAGTTTAGGATGTGCATCGCCAATTCCCATTGTGAGCAGGAAGCTTATCCCCCCACCCATGTCTTCCAAGATAGACCGCAATCCTCCCACGGCGAGAAGATGACGTTGATGACGAGGAGGCAGAGGAAACTGAAGAAGTTTATGGCGGCGGTCGAGGCGTGTGAAATAGTGCCGAAGGCCAGCAGATGGTACAAGAGGCGAGTGGAGAAGGTGGGAGGTTTTGCAGGGTGCAAAACATAGGGGAAAAGTTTGATGCCGTTTCAGGGCGAGAAGAGGATTTGCAATGCTTCTAAAGTCTCTGCTTCAACGTCATGAATGTGCGTGGCATTGTGGCACGAACCTGTGGCGATGTCTAGATTCCAATCTTTTCTGCAAGGCCTACGACCTTCGCTACACCCGTTTGTCGTCCTTTCCCCTTTGCAAGCTCAGCCTCAATTCCCGCCATTGCTGTGAGGGAGGTTATCGGAGACACACGTGCGATCGAAAGCTCATACGGTTATCGGAGACACACATGTGATTGAAAGCTCTATACGGTTATTGGAGACAGACATGTGATCGAAAGCTCATACGGTTATCGGAGACACACATGAGATCAAAAGCTCATACAGTTATCGGAGACACACATGTAATCGAAAGCTCATACAGTTATTGGAGACACACATGCGATCGAAAGCTCTATACAGTTATCGGAGACACACATGTGATCGAACGCTCATGCGGTTATCGGAGACACACATGGGATCGAAAGCTCATACGGTTATCAGAGACACACATGTGATCGAAAGCTCATAACCGTCCTGCTTACAGTTATTATCATCTTGCCCAAGCGTACGTATCCATACCTATCCGTTTACCTGCATTGCATTCATTCCGTCCTTGTTGTTTTGTATCTCCAAAGAGCAGCACTTTCAAAACACACTTCACACAAGAGTCACAATTGCTGAACAACGACATGCAATCACTCCCGCTGCAGTGGCTCTCTTGCGAGCGTCATGCGGCCTGCTTTTGTGCATCTCCAAACACTGCAAAGTAGAGAATTAGGTGCAAGGAAAATCTACAGCTACAGACGATCAAGGTCTGCGATTACGATGCTTGCGAAGTGACGCCTGACGCGTGCTCCGTATATTGTGCAAAAACCCGAACCGCCATAAGGCACCCCAACAGCTGTGGGGATAATTTCTGATAGCGAGGAAGAAGAAAAAAACTACAGCGCCAGACAAGTGAAGTCCGCGATTCGCAACACTGCGGGCTCCTCGGCAGCTGCACCGAGAAGTTCGTTGCTAGGAATCCCAGGATCTGAAACTTGCGTGAGCGATATGCGAAGGGTGCAGCAGGTAGTAAGCAGATAGCCTCCATTAATAATGCGGAAGCTTTCTTCTTCAGAAAGAAGTGCCTCGGGGAGTGTTCTGCTAGTCCGACAGCTTCCTAGCTTTCTGAAGGGTGCACCTCGTCATTGTGAAAGTCCGGACGAGGACTGACAGTCGCCGAAAAAAAAGGGACGAGTTTCTGAGCTTTCGTGAACTTCTTAGCTGGCCTCCATAGCTGTTTCGAATTGTTCGGCTCGTCCTACAGTTTCTGACAGTGCGCTCGCCATTTGGCATAGCTGTTTCGAATTGTTCGGCTCGTCCTACAGTTTCTGAAAGTGCGCTCGCCATTGGCAACGCCATGAAATAAGACCTGGTAGACACAGAAGGGGGTGAGTTTCCGTGAGGATTCCTTGAGGATTTTCCGGTTTTTGACAAAAATAAAAATAAAAATAAAAATCTAAACAATCTAAGCTCCAGGCTTGAAAATAATGTAGAAATGAAAGGTCGTGAGGATGTTGTCGATCTTGTGATTTCTTGCGGTACTACTAGTGGCAGTCTTTTTTTTTTTTTTTTTTTTTTTTTTTTTTTCCCACTTTGCAGTTCGTTCTGTAACTTCTGTTGTGGGATTTCTCAGGCACTCGCTGTATCCAGCCTTGGATAAAGAATTGCTGAATTCTTAATCTTATTTAAAAAAAAAAAATGCACTCAGGTCAGTGCACGACTATATCTATAGGTCTTTCTTTTTCCAGCTGTCGCGCATGTGGTGGTCTTTCATGCAGAGATGTTGCTGCTGTGTGCTTATATGAGTCTTGGCATTTCTGAAATATTCCGCAAGTTTTTTTTTGTTTTTTTTTTTCCCTCTGTGGGTTGACGGATGACTCAGCCTCTGTGGACCCTCGTGAAGAACTTGGGGTTGATCCTCAGCCAAAAGGTATTTCTTTTTGTGTCGCAGTCCGCTACAGCATATTTATATATTTTTTGAATCATTTTTCTCTTCCCCCCCCCCCTCCTTTCTTTAGAGACGACCCTCCCCTGAATAGGTCCCTCCGACCTTATCCGCATGAACTTATCCCACTGGGCTGTCCTAGATTGGCCACGGGGAAGCTCGATATCGGAGAAGTCGTCGTTGTCGTTGTCGTTGTCATTGTCGTTGTCGTTGTTGTTGTCGCCCTAACTAATATCCTCATCTGTGTAGCATCGCGCTCGGGCTCGGTGACCGAACCCGAATGCTCGGTACCGAGCCCGAACGTGGCCCAAAATAGACCGAGCCCGAACATTTTTATTTTTATTTATTTATTTATTATATATATAGGGGTTGGGGGCCCCTGGGGGGCATCACTCATCACTCCTAAACATACACACACACACACACCATACACACGCACCCCCAGACACCCCATAGACACCCCACACACACCCCACACACCACATACACATGAGGACGCGCTCGGCAGCCCCCTAATTTGCGCTCGGCCGAACATGTTCGGTTTGCGCTCGGCCGAGCGTCCGAACACGTTCGGCTGCTCGGTGGGGCGCCGAACATGTTCGGTGTGCTACACAGATCCTCATCACAAGTGAATAGGTGGTTATTGCTGAGAAGTAGGATGAATGTGGATACTGTCATAGTATAATCTGCCGACTAATTGCTGGGGGAACGAGTCGGCGGCACTCCCATACGTGGTGGACCTTCGTCAGGACTTCGATTCAACGAGTATCAGGTAAGTTTTTTATTTTTATTTTATTATTATTATTATTATTTTTTAAATCAGGTAAATTTTGTCTTTCATGAAAACCAAACTTACGGAGGTAACTTTGTCCTTGTCATCCTCAAGGACCTCAACCCTTCGGTTTCTCCATCCTGCCGTAGGTTTTCCTTATAGCGCCTTTCTATGTTCTGGTCAAATCGTTTCTTTCTTTCTTTCTTGTTTTAATAAAACCAAACTTAATGAGGCAACTTTGTCCTTGTCATCATCGTTGAGCAGGGGCTGCCCGAGTCTTGTGTGTATCGTTCCAGTTTTAACCGATGTTCCTGAAGGGCGCTTTCTGGTCAAATCTAGTACCACCCAAAATGAACTGTAAACTTCGTAATAGTTTGTATATACTATGTAGATTTCTATGTGGATTTCTCTGTAGATTTCCCCCTTTCACTATGACCGACAGCTTGTGTGAACCTCTGTCCGTTTATCTTGATGCATTATTCACATCTTCACTGGATTGTGTATCGCTCACGGTGTCTCTTCCTGTCACAATGTTTCACTTGGGCTTGGATTTTGAATACTCTGTCATAATGTCATGCCATCTTTTGAATCCCCTCCAAATGCCAGTACTGTCAAATTGTGTCAATCAGCTCTGGTCATTGGCTATCCTGGCCTCTCTCTCTCTCTCTCTCTCTCTCTCTCTCTCTCTCTCTCTCTCTCTCTCTCTCTCTCTCTCTC